ACCGAACAAGCGGGACCAGGGAAACCACCGACGTACCCGCAGTGGGGTAGCGAAGTGGAACACAGGGACCCAACCTGGGAGGCCGTGCGTCCCAGGGTGGGGTCTGAGTGCGCGGCGCGCCACTTACCTGGCTCCACGGCTGGGCAGGGGGCTCGTGAGGAGGCATAGCGTCCTTGAACCGGACCCTGCTGCCCACTGGCAAAAGGAGAGGGGGACGGCCGTGTGGAGACCGGGTCTCGTGCACCGCCGTCCTCGCCCTCTTGGGACCCGGAGGCAAAGGAAACTGCTCTTTTATTGAGGTTTTGGGTACCACTGGCTGGGTAGCCAGTGGCGGAACAGAAACAAACGGGAACAAAAGATTCTCCACCCGGCCCTCCTCCGGGGGAAGGAGTGGTGTGGTCACCATCTCCTGAAGAGCAGGATCCAAGGGCTCCGGGTCGCCCGTCTCAGGGACGCCGCCTGCCCTGGCGCTTCGTCGAACGTGACTGACTGAAAGGGAACATTTTGCAAGATTACTGTTTTTTTTTTCTGTATTTTTGATCAAATAAATGCAGCCTTGATGAGCATAAGAGACTTCTTTAAAAAACATTACAAGTTTTAATGATACCAAATTTTTGAGCGGTAGTGTATGTATAATGTTGCTGTTATTATAGTATATTAAATGATTAATAATATTTGAATTATATGTTATTTATTATTTTGATTGTTGCTTCTATATATTGTTAGTGACAAGAATATTAGTATTAATTTGGTGAAAGGGTCTGTTAAATGGCTTAATGTAAATTAATGTACCTTACTATGTTCTGAAAACTTTCCAGTGAGTCAGATCTTTTCTTTAATAGATGGCTATCTGTACAAAGTAAGAAAAACAGGGATGAACAATTATTATTGTATGGAGTTACTGGACTTTTGAGCTTGTATAAAGTACCAGTCATAAAAAAATTCATTGTCAAATTTAAGCTATTAAATATCAAATCTGAACATTATTTTTTGATTATTTGATTAGATTTTTTAATTATTTGAACTTTAGGATATGTATCTTTGGGTTGTCGATGTGTTCACGCTGCTTATGTAACTATTTAATCATAGATCTCACTAACCACCACATGGAAGGAAGTCAAGAAGATCATCAAAGATGACCCACGCTGCATCAAGTTCTCCAGCAGTGATAGAGTGAGTGGAATTGTTTAGTTGACATATGTGACCCTGGACAACAAAACCAGTCTTAAAGGTGGGGTAAGCGATTTTTCAAAAAACGCTTTAGAAAACTGATTCGGGCTGAATAGCAAAACAAACTTGTAGCCAATCAGCAGTAAGGGGCATGTCTACTCATGATGTGGAGGAGAGAGAGTTCAGTGCACAGGACGGACATTAGCCGAGCCGAGCGACAGAAAGGTAGAGATGGCGGATAAGAAACAAAAGAGGAAACGTCTGCGGAACAAAATAAAGCAAGAAGTAGGACTCGTGTAAATATCGGATCAGCTTTCCAGCGCTGGAGAGAACTCCAGGAGCGGAAGGCCTGCGATCGGATGCCGAGGTTGCTTTGTTTCTTCTCAATAGGTGTAAAAGATGTAATTAGCCCTATTAGGAAAATGATTATCTTCTAGGTTTTAACTTCTATTTGTTAAAGCTGTTGAACCCCTATCTTGTATTTTCCGTAGATCACGGAAGTTGATCCAGGAGCCAGACCAGCACCTAAAAGATATTGAGAAAATTCTTCAAAATGATAAACGTTACCTGGTCCTAGACTGCGTCCCAGAAGAACGCCGCAAACTAATCATGTTCTATATTGAGGACCTGGACCGCCGGGGACCCCCACCTCCCCCAACCGCCTCAGAACCCAGCCGCCGCTCCACCAAGTGAAGCCCTAGTGGACCTTAGAGGACTGAGCATGAGCCAGCCCTACACTCATCATAACACCGACATGTTACATGTCTGTAACACTGTGCTATCTACACAAACTGTGCAAGATGATGCCCTGTATGCCCACTAGTTGTTGGCTAGCACAAGGCAAATTGTTAATGTCAATCTATGAACTTCATTCGTCAGGCAGGGAATGCATTTGTACTTGTTACTTGCACTTGGTACGGCAGCCTTTTGTGAGAGTCTTGTGGATTATCAATTGTAGCAGGCTGTTAATACAACCGGCCAATGCAGACAGTGTGTGAAATGAGTCGTGTACCTTGCAGTACATGTGAAATGTTACTTAAAGTGGTTTGATTTGGACTTGCTATATTTCTCTGTATGTGTTGGCTAGAAATTAATGCAACCATTTTAAGTTTTTTTTTAGCAATTGTGTTGTGATCTTGTAATTTGCACAGGCCATGAAATCAAAGAATACAAAATGTGTTCCTCTTGATTTTTATTAGTTTTTTTCCCCTTTTCTTTATCAAATTAGAACAAAAAAGCAGAACATTAATACATATGCTACATTGTTTACTTCAATTTTACACCATTCCTGTTTGTTGCATCAATCAATCCATAAGCTGGGTTTTGAAATGATGCATGCACCTTCATTAAGTAAAACGGGAAATGAAAATTCAGAAGCTGAAAAGTTGGAGACCTCACGGCCACAGCAGCCACAACATATGCAGTTATCAAAGCCATCCGAATCCTCTGTCCTGCCAAGAAGCAAGAATCAGATATAGGATGAATACGGACTCCGTTGAGACATTTCCTCTCGTTATCTTAAGGCCCTTTCACATGACTCTTCAATGCATTGCACACAACAGCGTGAAGTTAAAATATTCTAGCAAATATTGTAGCATTCAATGTCAAATTTGACTAGGCTTTTCGTTGAGCTTTCAAAACACATCCAATGATTACCAAGTTTGCATGACATTACGTGAGAGACGCCAGCACAAAAATCAAAGCAAGATGGAAGAGGCTGTGCAGCTGCTCAACTTCAAAGGCATATCATGACATTCAGAGAAACACATTCTATTTTTTTCTCTCAAAGCAATCAGCAGGACTCTTTTTCTGCTCTAAGCTCAAATACATTTTTCTTTGCTTTATTTTCACAGTACATTTCCCATTTTCTTCCAACCTAGCAACATCCTTCCATGACGGCATCTACGACGCTTCTCATGGAGGTCAAATGGTGCTGGGGAGATGTGCTCAAGCCCTGACATGAGTCATGTGAAAGGGCCTTTAATGACATTAAAGGTCAAAGGATCCTCTTTGTATTGCTGTGCATTACCGATAAACCTCTAGCGAGGGGGATTTGAAGAAATTAAAAACAAAAGCAGTCCAACAGCCAGTGTCATTTTCTGTGGTTGCAGTGCAAGTTTTGTTAGATCCAGTGCAGTATCAAATCTGCTGTAGAAGGCAAAGCTCATCTAGATGTTCCTCAAGTTCACTGCTAGTGAGTCCAACCTTTCCACCCCCAGTTCATCTAGAGAAATAATGCCTCTTGTTGCTGTGATAACTGGAGACATCAGAGCTACATGCTAGTTGACCTTGTCCTGAAATATATAGAGGTTGTTGGTGGCAGCCACAGCGATGATGTTCTCATTGGGGTGCCATGCAGTGTGTAGGATCTTCTTACTGAAGTCCAGACTGTCCACACTGATTTCATCTTTACGACGCTTGCCACCAACACAAACTTTGCGTGGCTTGAGGATGGCTCTGGGTTTGCTGTTTTCCCGTGAGGCCTCCAGAGTCACGTCGCGCTTAGTGTTTCGATCGAACATACGGAAGAAATTGTTGTAGGAGCCTGTCATTAGGACACTAATGGGAAAGGAATAAGACAATTAGTTCTTATTACTTGATATCAGCACCACAGTCCAAGATCAATTTGAAAAACCTGGTGTGAATGATTGCTTTTGACCAGGGGAGTCCGATCCTTATCCTGGAGGTCCATCTTCCTATAGAGCAGGGATAAGCAACTTGGGTCCTGGAGGGCCACTGTCCTGCAGAGGTTAGTTTCAGCCCAAATTAAACATACCTTGCCGTTTTTAAGCAATTTTCGTGCAATCCTGAAGACTTGGGTTAGATCTTTCAGGTGTGTTTGATTAGACAAGGAGCTAAACTCTGCAGGACAGTGGCTCTCCAGGACCAGAGTTGCCCAACCTTGGTGTAAAAATTGGCTCCAAGCTAGTCAAGGGTTTCTGGATTACTCAAAAGTTCCAGAATAGAGCTAAACGCTTGAAGGTGGACATCCAGGAGAAGGACCAGACACTCCTGTTTTAGACAGACCTGTCAGTTCCATTCCAGACACATTCAAACTTGTCGAAGATGAAGTCATTCTCGTACAGTGAGCACAGCTTACTCCTAAGGTAGTCATGGACCTGTCAAAGGTAGAACCGAAAGCACAGATGATCAATACCTAGTATTTGACCAATAATGATGATAAAACTACTTTTTGATGTCATTATAAACCAATGATGACTAATCATGGATCACTGTCCAATCTGCATTGCCAATACCTGGTAAGTTTCCAAAGGCCTGCTCTCCATGTTGATGTCCCACACCTTCACTGTGAGGTAGTCACGGGTCATCAAGTAGCGTCCACTGTGGCTGAATTTCACATCTGAGATGGAGGAGATTATCTCTGAGAAGAAGGAGCGATTACTGGGGTCTTCTGGTTCCTCAAATACTGATGGAGAGAAACAAGTAGCATTTCAGGAGCAGAGTTAGGTCTTGATCTTAAAACATCTCATGGCATTTGTCCGGATCTCATTACTTGGTGTCTTGGTCTGGATCTTGGTGTCAGTTTAAGATAAGACTGCAGTCATTTCCAGCATCTTAAGGGTGATAATTACCTCAACCACAGGCGCCATGGCAATTTCACATTTTTTTCCAGATAATTTGCTTGGAACGCATGACTCCAAACAGCCACTGTATAAAGTGCTTCAGTGTTTGAAATTATTTCTGTTATAGCAGAGGTGTCCAGTGTCTTTTGGGAGTTTGATCTTGACACAAACTCCAAAAGTTTGGGAGGACTACTTTCAATTTCAAAAGTACAAACTCTCTGTTCATTAAAATTCACCCACTGGTTCTTGGACCAACAGGTCTTGGAGTAACTCTGTGTTTTGGAACTGGTTCTTTATCTGGTTTTGGGCCTTGAGGGGTCTAGTATTGGACTGATTCTCATAATGGTTCTAGAAGATTTGGCCGTGAACCCAACTGAAATTTCAAAATGGCTTTAACCTTTTTGGTTTGAACCAAGATCTTGAGGAAAAATATTTAATGGCTACAATAAGTTGGCTGGCGAAAATGAATAGCATATCTCAATCAAAGTTCCAACAAAAGAACCAAAGACTAAAGTGAACTCACATTTAGAATGGTTGTCACAAAGTGCGGAGGTTCTCATGTCGCACAATCTTATGGAGCCCTTGCTGCTACTGTAGACAAACGTGTTGCACTGGTTAGGGTGAAACTCAGCAGCTGTGATCACCTCGGTCAATTCTTCCATGTTGGCTGGCTTTATGTCCACAATATCTGAGTAGGCAAAGTGAAGGATCCACAATCCTAGCACATGAAATTCTCCATGAATCATTAAATCAATAAATGTCCTGCTTGATAAATGTGTCTGGCCCTACAGTATATATATATATAGTGGATTATTATGTCAGATCTTCATTTCCCAAATGATTGGATGAAACCTGCTTACAGAGGTAAATCTGCAACTGAGAAAATCTCTCATGCTAAATTTCCCCCAGGATAATCTGATATCTACGCTTTGAGAATTAGCCTGTATCAAAAAGTCAGATAAAAAAAGCTCTAGGAGCCATAAATATAGCATCACATCCATCTGTTGGTGTTGGGTAGTGACAGGTTATTCGTCATGACATTGATCATACATACACGTTGTGAGGATCATACATTTACAGTGTGACCTTTGGGTAATAACAGGCTTTATCTTCTCCCCGACTCCCTTGAGCAACTCCACAGAACCCGTAACCACCCATACAGACTGTCCACAGACTCTCCATCTCAGCCCTGCAGGGTCCTTGAGAACAGTAATCAATAGTGATCGATGGGGATGCGTGCCTGAGTACGCTGGACACTATTTACCTTTGGGACGGCGAAGCAGGGGTCAGGATTAGTGGCGGACACTTGATAAAGGGTAATGGGCGTAATGTACATCACAGAGGTGTTATCTGTCAGAATTAAGTGACAGCAGAGACAGTCTGCAGGTGGTTTATTGGGTTTGTTTGATTGCTGGTTTAGCGGAATCCTTTTGTCCGTAGTTTAGTAACAA